ATATATATATATATATATATAATGTATATGTATGTATGTATGTGTGTATATATTTATATATGTGTGTATATTTATATATGTGTGTGTGTGTAAAAAGGTATTTATAAAAAATAAATGTATAAAAATGTATTAATATATTTTATTATTAATTAATTTTAATATTAATGTTCAGTATAGTATGCCTGTGTATAGTATGAATATAAACTGGACATACCGGATGTCATGTGACCTACCATCTTCAGTGCCATTTTATGAATACTGTGAATACTACAGACATACTCTTTTTCACATACTGTTTTTCACCCACTATATATTGGGGGGTTTAAATATGTAAATGCTGTATTATCTTATTAAATGTAGACTAATTAGCATAGATTTCCACAACATACATTTACACATAGGATAAAGCCAGGTTCAAATTCCTGTTTCATTTTGTTGGCATATTAAAGGTTTCTACAAGGGGGATTTTCTCTCTTTTTATAAATAAGTCAGAACAGCGAAAAAAAATTCTAATGTTACACCAATCGGGTGAATAATATTTGAACAACCCCTCTGTAAAAACCTTCAGAATATAGATAGGAATAAAACTGGAAAGTTGGGCCAATGTAAGATGAAGTTGATTATATCGCTGCGCTCCCTACTTTTATCGTGGAGAGTTCCTGCCCAGAACAGAATCATAAAGCTAATACAAACTGTATGCTAATTGTCAATCATTTTTGTCTGAAGTGTTCGTAACAGAATGCTTTATAGTGCTGTTCACACTCCGTGGTTGCACACAACACGATATACTTTAACTTGTCTGACACACAGAGGAGACCGGAACGCTTTCCTGTCAACTTTCAGATGCCATGCAGCAAGGAACTGACTCTAGGTCTGACCCAGGACATGATACGAGACAGAAATGTTAAAGGGTTATGATCTGTGTACACTATTTATTTATTTTATTTATTTATTTAGTCATTTATTAGACGCTTTTATCCAAAGCGACTTACAAATGAACACTATAACTTGATTACCAGAGTTTAGGTACACTTCGAAGTGTTGGAGGGCTAGAAGAAATGCCAGTGCCTCTTTTTCTATAGTGCTATAGTTCTGTTGACACTTAGTAAACTTTTTAGAGAAATAACTGACAGGATGTTCAATGCCAGCGTCATCAGCTTGCATTAGCACCGCACCGGCGCCGCGAGCACTTGCATCAACATGCAGAGTGAAAGGCAAAGTGAACCTTGGGGCAGACAGGATTGGAGCATTGCACAGCAAATCTTTCGCAGAGCAAAAGGCGGACTCACACTTTTCACCCCACACGAATTTTCGATCACTGCTAAGGAGATCGGTAAGGGGCGCAACCACTGTGGCGAAGTTCTTACAGAACCCCCTGTAATAACCGGTCATTCCTAAAAATTCGCATTTATTAGTAGGTGATGGGAACTCAGCAATAGCTTCAACTTTTGCACTTACAGGTTTTACCTGGCCCTGCCCAACTAGTTTCCC